TCTACAAGGAAGGCTCAAGCAGTATGTGGACCGAGAACTCCCAGAAGTGCAAGCTAGATTTAGAAGAGGCAGAGGAACCAGAGACCAAATTGCAAACATGCACTGGATTATGGAGAAAGCTAGAGAGTTCCAGAAAGACATCTACTTCTGCTTCATTGACTATGCAAAAGCCTTTGACTGTGTCGACCACAGCAAACTATGGCAAGTTCTTAAAGAAATGGGAGTGCCTGATCACCTCATCTGTCTCCTGAGAAATATCTATGTGGGACAAGAAGCTACAGTTAGAACTGGATATGGAACAACTGATTGGTTCAAAATTGGGAAAGGAGTACGGCAAGGCTGTATATTGTCTCCCTGGTTATTTAACTTATATGCAGAATTCATCATGCGAAAGGCTGGGCTGGATGAATCCCAAGCCGGAATTAAGATTGCTGGAAGAAATATCAACAACCTCAGATATGCAGATGACACAACCTTGATGGCAGAAAGTGAAGAGGAATTAAAGAACCTTTTAATGAGGGTGAAAGAGGAGAGCGCAAAATATGGTCTGAAGCTCAACATCAAAAAACGAAGATCATGGCCACTGGGCCCATCACCTCCTGGCAAATAGAAGGGGAAGAAATGGAGGCAGTGAGAGATTTTACTTTCTTGGGCTCCATGATCACTGCAGATGGTGACAGCAGTCACGAAATTAAAAGACGCCTGCTCCTTGGGAGAAAGGCGATGGCAAACCTAGACAACATCTTAAAAAGCAGAGACATCACCTTGCCAACAAAGGTCCGTATAGTAAAAGCCATGGTTTTCCCAGTAGTGATGTATGGAAGTGAGAGCTGGACCATAAAGAAGGATGATCGCCGAAGAATTGATGCTTTTGAATTATGGTGCTGGAGGAGACTCTTGAGAGTCCCATGGACTGCAAGAAGATCAAACCTCTCCATTCTGAAGGAAATCAGCCCTGAGTGCTCACTGGAAGGACAGATCCTGAAGCTGAGGCTCCAATACTTTGGCCACCTCATGAGAGGATAAGACTCCCTGGAAAAGACCCTGATGTTGGGAAAGATGGAGGGCACAAGGAGAAGGGGACGACAGAGAATGAGATGGTTGGATGGTGTTCTTGAAGCTACCAGCATGAGTTTGATCAAACTGCGGGAGGCAGTGGAGGACAGAAGTGCCTGGCGTGCTCTGGTCCATGGGGTCACGAAGAGTCGGACACGACTAAACGACTAAACAACAACAACAAAGCACCCTGTCAGTTACATAACTGGCTGTTGAAAGGTGGTTGTTCCTGCTATAATGATAGCCACATCCAAGTTTTCAAAGGGCCCTGAGCTAAAAAGTGTTGCCTAACCATTTGTGGTTCAATAACCTTTCATGCCTTTCTCTCAGATGGTGTTCTTGGAGCATAATTACAGTTGCAGGAAAACATTTTCTATGACTTGCCATGAGGGGTGTGCAATTCTAATGTGCATGTTTTTTAAAAAAATTATAGAGAACTACAGTAAAAATCATAACAAGAGTCTATGTCAAGACAGAGGTTGAACTGGAAGATGGAAGGAAACCCACTTAATAGTCTGTTTTCCATTAATTCCCTACTAACCACCCAGTCCCCATACATTAAAATAGGAAACATTGACACAACCATCAGTATATAATTTCTGACTCTTCCCATAACCTCATAAATAAATGTTCAGATATTCAAACTGGCTCTCTGAACCAATCTCTTATTTAAAAAACAACATTTTGAAAAACGCTTTCTCTCCCTTAGAACAGCAGAACATAAGCAATGGAAGCAAATCTGTAAAATTCCAAAGAAAAATGAAACAGGAATGGGATCACCTCAATCAGCCATAGGAATTTAAACTGGAAGTTCAAACTCTGCCCCATTTCCAATGGATCCTCCACAGGGTCCAAGTTGGCATCATTTACTCAAAAGCAGAGACAGGTGTGCTGGGACTCTGAGAGAAAGAAAGCAACTCCCTCCCCAGAGGGCAATTTGACTTATGACATCTGTGCCATACAAATGCAATCAGGTTCTCATTTCATTATGAGAAAAAAATTCATTTTTATTTCTGCTTTCAAGTATCTTTATTATTTTAGCCATCTAAACCATTGGTAAAGGTAAAGGGACCCCTGACCATTAGGTCCAGTAGTGGCCGACTCTGGGGTTGCGGTGCTGATCTCGCTTTATTGGCTGAGGGAGCCGGCGTATAGTTTCCAGGTCGTGTGGCCAGCATGACTAAGCCTCTTCTGGTGAACCAGAGCAGCGAACGGAAACACCGTTTACCTTCCCCCCGGAGCGGTACCTAGTTATCTACTTGCGCTTTGACATGCTTTTGAACTGCTAGGTTGGCAGGAGCAGGGACCGAGCAACGGGAACTCACCCCGTTGCGGGGATTCGAACCGCCGACCTTCTGATCAGCAAGTCCTAGGCTCTGTGGTTTAACCCACAGCGCCACCCGCAGCCAAGGCAAAAGCCTACAGCACACGGTATTCCCAGGCGGTCTCCCATCCAAGTACTAACCAGGCCTGACCCTGCTTACCTTCCGAGATCAGACAAGATCAGGCGTGTTCAGGGTAGTATGGCCGTAGACATCTAAACCATACTTTGATAATAAATACTCACAATATAAAAAGGAAGAAAAGTTGGACAAAGAAACAAATAATAACAAACTACATCAAAAAGAAAAATATTACATAGATAATTATCATATCTGTTTAACAATATAGCTAAATTATATCTATTCTTATTCCCCAAATACATGTCATTCCATGCTATTGGGCAATAGAGGGGCATGGCTTCTAATTCTTGCGTTAAATGAAGCCATTGCATGTAGTTTCTGGGTGTGAATGTAATTGAAAGGCATCATTAAGAGCTGGATCCTGGCATATATTACATGCTAAACAGGAAAGGCCAAGGGTAAGTTCGGCTTGTGCATATCCTGATTTATTAATGGTAAGTAACTGTTTCAAAACACCTCTCTTGGGTAGTTTTGAGTTATACATTATACAATATACATGAGGGTACCAGTAGTTGCTGTATTGATTACAGTCCTTTGGAGAACCAGTGACCGCCATAACTCTCTGGAAAATTCTAGAAGCAGATTCACCCCATGGAGTGATTGGGAGGTGGCCTCTCTGTGTGGTTGCTGTTGTTGTGTAATCAGCTTTCTCAGAAGGTCTGTTGTGCATGTCAACCACATTTGCAAAGTATTCTTTTTCATCAATCCAACATTAACTCCATATGCCTGGGACGCGGGTGGCACTGTGGTCCAAACCACTGATCCTCTTGGGGATGGTGATTGGAAGATCAGCAGTTTGAATCCGCGCAATGGGGTGAGCTCCTGTTGCTCTGTCCCAGCCCCTGCCAACCTAGCAGTTTGAAAGCATACCAGCGCAAGTAGATAAATAGGTATCACTGAGACGAGAAGGTAAACAGTGTTTCCTTGTGCTCTGGCACTTGTCCTCTCTGCACCAGTAGCAGTTTAGTTATGCAGGCTACATGACCCAGAAAGCTTTCTGTAGACAAAAGAAGGCTCCCTCGGCCTGAAAAGTGAGATGAGTGCTGCACCCCACAGTCGTCTTTGACTGGACTTAACTGTCCAGGGGTCCTTTACCTTTACCTATTAACTCCATATGATTATGGTCTGAAAAATAATGTGCCTCATGCCACCCAGATGAGCTTTGAATCAGCTACCTGCAGATTGAGCATTGCACTCTTATCTGCTGTACTAAATGATCTGTTACACGTTGACTAATCTTTTGTTGAACTGAGACTGCAGTCCTATGCCCACTTGCCTTGAAAGGTGCCACACGGAAGTCCCAGCCCCTGCCAACCTAGCAGTTTGAAAGCATACCAGCACAAGTAGATAAATAGGTACCACTGAGACGAGAAGGTAAACGGTGATTCCTTGTGCTCTGGCACTTGTCCTCTGTGCACCAGTAGCAGTTTAGTTTACCTGCAAATTGATCATTGTACTCCTAACTGCTGCACTAAATGATCTGTTACACGTTGACTAATCTTTTATTGAACTGAGACTGCAGTCCTATGCCCACTTGCCTTGAAAGGTGCCACACGGAAGTCAGTGGAAATACCTTCTGAGAAGTTTGCGTAAGATGATATTGGGAGTTGGGCAAGATTGAACCAATGATATCAATTAGAGAGGGTGCTTCTGTTCCTTCCAGGAACGTGTTGTACTTGGTGAAGTGTGGCAACCTATTTAAGCCACACTATCTGCCAATTCATTCTCCAGTATAGGATATAGGTTAAAGCACATATTTTTAATCCAGCTTTGTGGAGTCCAGTCTTGTTCTTTACCCTGAAAGATGGATTTGCTTCCATGCACATCAAGGATGTGGCTCTTTATAATGGGGGCAGGCTTGGTCCAAGCCCTTGTTACTTCAGGAATATTTATGAAAAGAAGAACTGTACACCCAGAAGCTACTATGCATGTTGTAAGCCACCTATCTGTTATTCTTTTGTTTGCTTAACTCAAGGCATTTATGGTTATTAGTGCTGCTTAATTGTGCTATATTCCACATACCTGAAATTTGTTTTTTATGGAATGCTGGGATTGCCGGGGGCAAGGAAATGATGATGATGGTGATGATGATTTTGAAGTATGTACCCTGCCCTCTCAATGCATCATTGCTCAGGGCAGCGTGCAGCATCTTTTTTTGTTTTTTTGTTTTTTAAGCATTCCCAAAGTAGCTCCCCACATCTGCTTCATGTAACCCCAGCACTCTTTGGGCTTCATTTAGGTATCAGCAGTAGCAAGTTTAGCATCTTGCCTATGCATTATTATTGCTCAGCAGCATGAAGAAAAATCATTAAGTGGTCCACAAAGACCTTCAGCATTTTTCAAGTGGTCCAAGAGGATTGGGTGGAGTTTGGGAACCATTGCTATTAAAGATGTAGTCTTCTGTGGGAAAGAAGTGTCCAGGAGTTTTACAGTCCCAGCCAAACCTTGCCTTTTCTTTTCTCCCTTTCCGCCAAGGGTGAAATGATTTCCTTCAGAGGATATCCCAGTGAGACATATGAAGTGGTGACAGATGATGGGTATATCCTGAGTATTAACAGAATTCCTCATGGGAAAAGAAATAACTGGGAATCAGGTGAGTTTTTTGAGGTATTTATTATATATACATGGAAATACTGTGAGGACTTTTAAAATTATTTAAAAAATGATAGGTTTTTGCTTTGGAATTCGTTTACTTATTGCAAGAAAACCTCAACAATGTGTTTGGTTAGGGGTGATTATTAATATGATTTTATTAATTATATGTTTTGGTCCTATTTTTTCTATAAAATTCCCAAAAAGGCCATAGATTAGGTTAAACACATTTTAGTCCTTTCTTGAGCTATTAGGTCCTCTGCATGGAGAATATGGAGGTATGCTATTGAGTGACAGAGAAAAGGCAGAACTGCTTTGCCTTTGTCTTCTTTTTTAATTTTTTAAAATTAATTTTCACATTTAAACATTATCATCATATAAACCATAAGAAACAACTTCAATAAAAATAAAAATAGAAAATAAAACATCTTCACTCCATATTAAATCCATATTTTGGGATTACTCAGATCCCTTGACTTCCCTCCATTTCCTCTCCTAGTTCTTTTATAATATCTTATATTATGCATGTCTATAATTTATTAAATTTATTAAAATTTCCAATTTTAAACATTCTTAATATTACAAATGTTTTTAAAAGCCTGCTATTGTATTAACTTCTTTTACAATGTCTTTGTAAATATGCAGTAAACATTTCCCATTCTTTTTTATCTTTGTGGTCTTCTTGATTTCTTAGACTTCCTTCCAGTTCATTTAGCTATTTCAGCATATTCCATTAATTTAAACTGCCAATCTTCTAATAGAATGAAAAACATATTATTACAAATAATACATAAAGACCAAACAGGATTTCTGCCAGGAAGACATATGAAAGAATATATAAGGACTATAATAGATATTTTTGAATATCTGGTAGTAACAAGCAGCAATTATGTTTGTAGATATGGAAAAAGCATTTGATAATGTTTCCTGGACCTTTATGTTAAAGGTCGTGGAAGAAATGAACTTTGGAGAAACTTTTAAAAGAGGAATAGAAGCCATATATTCAGAACAGCAAGCGAGATTAATAATTAATAATGTAACTGCAGATGAGTGTGAAATTACAAAAGGGACAAGACAGGGGTGTCCCCTATCACCTTTATTGTTTATTTTAGTCTTAGAGGTACTGGTGAGAGATATAAGAGCAGATGATGATATTAGAGGAATAACTGTAGGAAATAAGTCATATAAATTAAAGGCATTGTGGATGAATTAATGCTCATGATAGAAGACCCTGGTCAGAGACGAAGAAGAAGCAGGCACCAGCATGGGGGGGGGGGTTGGATCTCCTGAACATAGAAGTGCAAGAAGCTGAAACAAAGAAACAGCTAGAGCAAACAATTCCGCTGAGGCTGAGTTCAGACTTGGAGGGGGGGGAGGAAGTACAGTCGGCTCTTTTGAGGCGTGCACCAAAGAGGTTGGAGATCAAAAGGAAAGCCGTAAAGCTGTCACACTTGAAATGCTGGGGGAGGTGTCGTAAGTCATTCACGCCAACTGAATATGATGAATCGGAGTGAATTACCGGAGCTTGTGTTGACTTTGTAAACAGTGAACAATAAAGACCATAAAATCATTAAGCCGTGATTGCTACCATTACTAGCGAGGAGAGAGACACCTCTGGATGTGACACTTACTGTATTCTCTCCAAAATCCATCTGCTTCAATTGGCTCTTTAATTCTATGTTTTTTCCCCCTTGTATGCAAATGTGAATCCTTCTGGGAATTCCCATCTATACCTTATATCATTCCTTCTTAAAGCATCAGTTAACACTTTATAGTTCAAGTGGTTTTTAAGAAGGCGAGCAGCAATTTCTTTAAGCAAAATAATGTTTTGGCCTTCAATTTGGAACTCTTATTATAATTGGTCTGGAACATTCTATCTTTAATAGCTCCTGAATTCAGAAATACCAGGCAATCTCCTGGCATCTTCTTAATCTTTGCCATTTAATTCTATAGAACCTGTCCTCAGAGCTGTCCAGGAATTCTTCATCCAGTTCCAGCCATTCTGCTAAGGCCTCAATTAAGTATTCTTTTAGATCCTGCTCTCCTTCTTCTGGCACATTTCTCAGATGGACCACCAGTTCTTTCTGTTCCTTCATCTCTGCCACAGCCATAGCATCCCAAATCATTTCCTGGGTTGCATAAACTCCTTGTACGACAACCTTCAATTTAATTTAAAAGGTAATCCAATCTTTGTTGCTAAAAATTGACACAATATTCCCTCTTGGATATTATCTCCAATGTCTCCAACTTCTTCAAGAGAATATTAATACTTTCCTCAATTAATGAGGAAGTCTCTTAGTCTCATCTGTCTTCCAATTCAATATTAAATATCTCCAAGTTCATCTTTCAAAATGGCTTGAAGTTAGTTGGAAAGGTAGGCACTGCTGTCTGGTTCAGAGGCTTTGCTCTACAGAGCTGCACTGGAGCCTAGATTGCTGGCTTTTCTTTCGGGTCCCCCCCCCCCTGCACTTTTTGGTGCAGAGGCAGAGATCAGAGCCAGAGCCACCGTTCATGATCTGCAGGACTCCTCAACACCTCAAACTTTCTTTTAAGACTTTTTTTTGGGGGGGTGGGAGCTCGTCTCGGCACTTCCCCCCTGGTCCTCCGTAGAGCCAAGTTTGACGAAGCTGTCAAACCCATAATCCATCCACCATTCATGCTGAACCGGAAGTCCCTTTGCCTCTGTCTCTAACTCACAAGGAAAGTGATCCCCGACCTGGTGATGACATATTAAATGATGTAAAGAGGGAGCTGCAGCCCATGATAGGAAAAGAGGTGGTAAGGAAACACCTAGCTACTTTAAATGAATTCAGATCTGCAGGGCCTGGTGAGCTGTGCCCCAAAATACCTCTGCCTTGCTTTCCATATTGCATTTAGAAGATATTCATTCCAGACTCAAATTCCAGACACGTGAAATTGCTGGCCTGCTCTGCGTCCCAAGTTTATAGTTGGTGATACGCACTAGTGGCCAGTGAGGCCACACATGTGGGGCATCGTTGCTCTCCTGGCTTCTTAACACAGCCGTCACTGGTGATTATTGGGAAGGAGAGCAGAGGTGCAAGGTGAGGAGAGCTTGGCCAGGTGAGGCTGCATCTTATTGGATGGAGACACTGAAATTACATATTGTAACTATGTTTAAAACAAGGAACTAGGCAGAGGGCCTTCTTGGTAGTGGCACCCACCCTGTGGAACGCCCTCCCATCAGATGCCAAGGAAATAAATGACTTTTATTTATTTTTTAATAATTTTTATTAACAGACCAATCAAATCAAATCAAATCAAATCACATAAATACCGAATTACAGAGCCTTATTTTAAATTTTTGTTGGGGGTACCCATATTTCAAGTTCCGAAAGGGATCCAATCCTCTTGTTGCTGCTGCTTTAAAAGTCCACAAATCTGTCCAAATAATGATCACAATTCTGTCCAATCCTTTATTGCTGTTTTCCACATCTCTTCTAGTTGTTTTCATATATTTTTCCTTTCTCTTTGTCTTTGTGGCCTCTGATAGTCTCCATAAGCGGGTTGCAACAAATTTGTATTCCTGTGTGGATTTTTCCGTTCATCCAAGAGTCATATTTCAGACAGCAGCCGTATTTCATCGCTTCCATAAAGAAAAACATTCTTGCTGTCTACTCCTTAACTTTTCACAGGTCTGTCCTTCTTTCTCAGTCCTCGAGGAGGTTCTACCAGGAATCCAATATGAAAACAAAGCTTCCTCCTCCCGATCATGAATCTTTCGACAAGACCTGTCAAAATGGCGACTCCCTTTTTGTTGCTGCGCCATCAAAAGCCCTTGTTCTTTTTCTCGATCTCACAAGCCAAACTTTTGGTAGTAAATCATTTCCACACAGTTTTTAATCATCCTGCTTAGGTTGGTTATGCACGGTTCTTTTTGAGGAGGGGTTATTGATTAATCACATAGAAGAAAGGAAATAAATGACTTTTAGAAGACATCTGAAGGCAGCCCTGTTTAAGGAAGTTTTTAATGTCTGATGTTTTATTGTTGTTTTAATTGTGTTGGGAGCCTCCCAATGAGGCTGGGGAAAACCAGCCAGATGGGCTGGGTATAAATTCTTCTTCTTCTTCTTCCTCTTCAGGTCCCAGGCCTGCAGTGTTCTTGCAGCATGGCTTGTTTGGTTCTAGCAGTAACTGGGTGTTTAATATGGACTACAACAGCCTGGGCTTTATATTGGCTGATGCTGGTTATGATGTTTGGCTTGGAAACACCAGAGGTAACACTTGGTCCAACAAACACACCAACTATACTGAGAAGCATCAAGAATTCTGGCTATTCAGGTAGAGTGAGCTTTCTAAACCTAATTTCTTGTTTCTGGTTCCTAGTTCACCCTTTGGGGAAAACTTTAATTAGTCATGCTCTTCCTAGTGGAGCCATGTTTTTCCACCTCCTCTTATAATATATGATATGGAGATATAGAAATACATTTCCAAGTAAGTAAAATTGGTAGTTGTCCCTTTAAACAAACAAACAATTTGTTTGTTCCTGGGGAAAATATGGCCTTAGTGAAATGTGGCCTTGGTGAACTCCATAGAATAGATGATAGCAGATCAGCTTAACTTCAGGTGCAATTAGACTTGATCTGGAGAGACTCAATATTGGTCCTTCTGAATCTCTGCTGGAATTTGAAGCTTCTCAGACAGACATGGGTTGGAGGGAAAGCAGAGTCCTCTCCTGCCCACAGCATAAATACTGTTCCTCCTGAAACTGACTTTTTCAAAATGTTTTTGGTTTCCCCATTGCAGGCACATGGTTGCTCTTAACTATGTGGTGGGCATTTTCAGTTTGCAGTGAACAGCTCATAGTGTGGCCTTGCTTGCTAGTGAACAGTGAAAATGGAAATATATAAGGAAGATGAGTCATGGCTTAATTCAGATAACTGTTTCACAAATGTTCTTAGACTTGGTGACTTGATGGATCCATGGAGGAGATGATCTCTGATCTGCCAGATCCAAGCCTGTTCTTGTATTGAACTGGGAGGAGAACAGGGCATTTTAGGCTTTCACAATGGAGATCCCACTGCATATACATGTCTGTTAAACATAGGCTGTTCCTTTTTCTTTGCAGTTTTGATGAAATGGCTAAATACGACCTTCCAGCTTCAATAAACTTTGTCCTGAACAAAACTGGTCAGGAAAAAATATTTTATGTTGGTCATTCCGAGGGCACCACAATGGGTATGTTAGCAAGATTCTTAAACACATGCTGGCAATTCTATTAGCTACATACTTACATGCGCAGTTGCTGTTGTATATTAAATTCAAGAGACATCTTGCTCATAGTACAGTGATGTTCCATGGAACCTATGGACACCTATGGAGAAGCATCTTGAATAACAATCCCTGTATTTGGGTTTCCTGCATTTTCTTTCTTAGTGATATTTCACATATAGGTGATGATTCAAATTGGTTAAGGGGCTTATAAAAAGTGGTTTGTCTGGACTGAGAAACTGTTAAAATCCTGGATTGCAAACCAGTATCAAGCCTAGTTTGCAGTCAGAGTTTAGGTAACAGTTTCCCAGTCTGGATGTAACAGGAAGCTATAGTTTAACAACCACAGGATGTAATGTGTTAAGGCCCTTGAGACAAGAGGAGAAGAGAACTTGTTGGCTGAACACTCCTTCTTGGTCTGATAAATCATAGTTCTATAACGGAAACAGTTTGAACTTCACCTCACCTCTGACTGTCACTTCATGTTTTATTGGTTCTTAGTACAGCCTAGTGTGGCTGGAGAAACCCAGACAGATGGGCTGGGTATAAAAAAATAAAATTATTATTAATGTTGTTATTAGCCACAGAATGTATTACATAAGTGAATTTACAATTATTACACCACTGAGGAAATATATGCAGCACTAAAAAGTTTTAAGTAGGTCAGAAACAAGGCAGGGCCTTTTCTGTTGTGATGTGTAGATTATAATGCACCATTTCTAGTAGGGTCCTAGGTCAAAATGATCCCAGATCCTCAGATTTCAGGACCCAAACCTGAGACCTAGTGGAGTTGTTATAGGGGTGGCTGTTGGTGGTGTCAGAGAGGTGAACCCCAGGGATGTCATGAAAAATGGCACATTAATCATGGTCTCTGAGAGCATGTCATTCGAATAAAAAGCTACTGGTTGGAAATCAAGACAGAAACCATAACTGAAGGGGTTGTTCCCAGCTACCGCTGCTCTACGAAGTACTAAAGATTCTTGCTATGAAGAGGTTGAATAAGAGTGGTACTGGAGAAGTCAGTATAAGGTGCATTTTCAGCTCTGCTGAAAGTCTGTAAATTTTCATAATACACCCGATTTTGTTACTGGGTTTTTTCAAGACTGCATTGATAACTCTATTCATTTTTCTCCCCCCCCCCCCAGCATTCATTGCATTTTCAACCATGCCACACCTAGCCAAGAAGATCAAGATGTTCTTTGCATTGGCACCAGTAGCCACTGTAAAGTATTTGACCAACACGGCTTTGACCAAACTTGCAATGGTTCCTGAACCTAAGCTCAAAGTATGTATTTCAGAAAAAATATTTGTTCAAACAACGGAATGCTAAGTACAGTATTTGGGGATGTCTGTTTCATTTTACCTGAGGCCATTCACAATTCTCTTAGACATCTAAAGAGGTCAAGCTAGCCAATGCTGCAACTTGATAGCACAGTGTTGCTTTGGTTGTAATGTGCCAGGACTTTTTTGGGTAAAAAAATGAGGGCTGGTTCTTCTCCCTTGCTGTATGTGTCATGGGTTCCAGTTTCTGCTGTGAGCAGAAAAAGAAAGGTGTTGGTATTCTATACGTGTGGATACTGTTTGCATCTGGTGCCCATATTAAAGAATTTGGCGCAAGTCTCTACGGTTCCTAATAAAATTGCCATGAGAATCTTGTCATTATGGTGGCAGATCATACCTGTGGGTAACTTAGTTGCCTTTAAAGCAATAATGCTGAGCAGTTACATGGGAATGTATTTATTACAGTATTGCTTTATTTACAGTACAGTAAGCCTATGCTCCGGGACGCGGGTGGCGCTGTGGGTAAAACCTCAGTGCCTAGGACTTGCTGATCGTAAGGTCGGCGGTTCGAATCCCCGCGGCGGGGTGAGCTCCCGTCGTTCGGTCCCAGCTCTTGCCCACCTAGCAGTTCGAAAGCACCCCTAAGTGCAAGTAGATAAATAGGTACCGCTTTATAGCGGGAAAGTAAACGGCGTTTCCGTGTGCGGCACTGGTGCTGGCTCACCAGTGCAGCTTCGTCACGCTTGCCACGTGACCCGGAAGTGCCTTCGGACGGCGCCGGCTCCCGGCCTCTTGAGTGAGATGAGCGCACAACCCTAGAGTCGGTCACGACTGGCCCGTACGGGCAGGGGTACCTTTACCTTTTAAGCCTACGCTCCAGTGATCTATGGGATCATGGAAAGCCATGCTGATCATATTTACAGGAACATGTGCCCATTTTATGGCTCAGAGATACATACTGATCATGTTGGAGGCTGTTTGCTTGGGTCTCCTGTGTTGTCTATCTCTTCCACCCTGCTGCTTTTAGCTCTGTAATCCATAAAACAACATTGGAGCATGGTCAGTTTTATCCCCATGCTACAGTCACCCTTGGTTGCTATGCTACACTCCTGTCCTTTTCAGATTGGAGGAATAGCTACTTCTCGTATTCTTAGCCTAGGTTCAAGTCAGGAGACATGACATTAAATTAAGTCACTAGGCATACAATAGAGCAGTAAGACACTTACTTACGCAAGAAAGCAAAGTGGCTGTCCAACGAGGCCTTACAAATAGCGGGGGAGAGAAGGCAAGCAAAATGCGAGGGAGATAGTGAAAGATAGAGGAAACTGGGCCGAAATATTGGGAAATTTTGGAACAAGATGGAGATAGACTGAAACTGCAGAGTTTTGAGAAACTAAAAAATAAAGTGCGAGACTGGCTCCATTATTATCAGATAATGGAGGCATATAATTTGGACAAGAAAATTGGCTTCCAGGTGGAAAAATCAAAATTAGAAACAGAACTGTTAGAACCCAAAACTAAGAATTTGTCAAGAATGTATAACTTGCTGTTGAAATGGAATACTCAGGATGAAACGGTGAAATCTGCTATGATTAAATGGGCACAAGATGTTGGACATAATATTATGTTTGCTGACTGGGAACAGTTATGGACCACAGGTATGAAGTTTACGGCATGTAATGTCCTAAGAGAGAATATTATGAAAATGATATACAGGTGGTACATGACCCCAGTCAAGCTTGCAAAAATCTATCATTTGCCCGACAATAAATGCTGGAAATGTAAAGAAACTGAAGGTACATTCTTTCACCTTTGGTGGACGTGCCCAAGGATTATTATTATTATTTTTTAATAATAATTTTTATTAAAATTTCCATCAAAAATTAAACAACCAAAAAAAAAAAATCAAAGAAAAATACACAAATACACCATACAAATCTCAAAGAGAAAATAAAAAAAACACAAAAGACAAGAATCAACGATAAAAAAAGAACATAACAATTAAAAAAAACAATATCTCTTTTCCATTTCCGTCTTTAAATTTGCTTATTTTCTGGACTTCCTCATACCTCCCTCTTTTGTATTCCAATCCAAATTGTTTGTCCAGCAATTTCTTTTCCACTTTTTTAATCCCAGTCTTTAATTTAATATAATATTGAAATATATAACTTCAACATCTTTAAACCTAATCTTTAGTCTTAATGTAATATAACATTAAAATTTTACCTCTTAATTGTCAAATTTCCATTTCATTAAACATCTTTAATCCTAATCTTTAGTCTTGATCTATCGTTAACCTTAACTTGTACATCTGGAAACCGCTTATTTTCAGTCCAACATCACTCTAACATTCTTTAATTTTGCAATGTTTCTGAAGATAGTCTTTGAATTTCTTCCAATCTTCCTCCACCGACTCTTCTCCCTGGTCACGGATTCTACCAGTCATTTCCGCCAGTTCCATATAGTCCATAAGTTTCATCTGCCATTCCTCCAGCGTGGGAAGTTCTTGTGTCTTCCAATACTTTGCGATGAGTATTCTTGCTGCTGTTGTTGCATACAAAAAGAAAGTTCTATCCTTTTTAACACCATTTGGCCGACTATGCCCAGGAGAAAGGCCTCTGGTTTCTTAGGGAAGGTATACTTAAATACCTTTTAAATTCATTATATATCATTTCCCAGAAAGCCTTAATCTTTGGGCACGTCCACCAAAGGTGAAAAAATGTACCTTCAGTTTCTTTACATTTCCAACATTTGTTATCGGGCAAATGATAATTTTTTGCAAGCTTGACTGGGGTTATGTACCACCTGTATATCATTTTCATAATATTCTCTCTTAAGGCATTACATGCCGTAAATTTCATACCTGTGGTCCACAACTGTTCCCAGTCAGCAAACATAATGTTATGTCCAATGTCCTGTGCCCATTTAATCATAGCCGATTTTACCGTTTCATCCTGAGTATTCCATTTCAGCAGCAAGTTATACATTCTTGACAAATTCTTAGTTTTGGGTTCTAAGAGTTCTGTTTCTAATTTGGATCTTTCCACCTGGAAGCCAATTTTCTTGTCCAATTTAAATGCCTCCATTATCTGGAAATAATGAAGCCAGTCTCGCACTTTGTTTTTTAACTTTTCAAAGCTCTGCAATTTCAGTCTGTCTCCGTCTTGTTCCAAAATTTCCCAATATTTCGGCCATTTGACCTCCATATTGACCTTTCTCAAGGCTTTCGCTTCCATTGGTGACAGCCACCTTGGAGTTTTGTTTTCTAACAAATCCTTATATCTTATCCAAACATTAAACAGCGCTTTCCTGACTATGTGGTTTTTAAATGCTTTATGTGCTTTGACCTTATCATACCATAGATATGCATGCCATCCAAATACATTGTTAAAACCTTCCAAGTCCAACATGTCAGTGTTTTCAAGAAGTAGCCATTCTTTCAACCAGCAAAAAGCTGCTGATTCATAGTAAAGTTTGAGGTCTGGCAGGGCAAATCCACCTCTTTCCTTTGCATCCGTTAGTATTTTAAATTTTATTCTGGGCTTCTTGCCCTGCCAGACAAATTTAGAAATATCTTTCTGCCACCTCTTGAAAGAATCCATTTTGTCCACGATCTGCAAAGTTTGAAACAAAAACAACATTCTAGGCAATACATTCATTTTTATCGCAGCAATACGGCCTAGCAGTGAAAGCTTCAAATTTGACCAAATTTCTAAGTCTTTTTTCACTTCAGACCAACATTTTTCATAGTTATCTTTAAATAAGTTCCCATTTTTTGCTGTCATGTTAATCCCCAGGTACTTAACTTTCTTAACCACTGTTAAACCTGTCTCATTCTGAAACCTCTCTCTTTCAAACGGTGTTAAATTTTTCTCTAAAACCTTGGTTTTTGACTTGTTCAATTTAAATCCTGCCACTTGACCAAATTCCTGAATCAGTTCTAAAACTCTTTTAATACTAGATTCTGGCTCCTGTAACGTCAATACTAAGTCATCTGCAAATGCTCTCAATTTGTACTGTTTAGTTCCGACCTGTATACCTTTAACCGACTGGTCCCTTCTAATCATATTCAGCAAAACCTCCAGGACCGAAATAAAAAGAAGTGGGGAAATAGGGCAACCTTGTCGTGTCCCTTTTTCAATTTTTAGTTCTTCTGTCACAACATTATTTACAATTAGTTTAGCTTTTTGTTCTGAATAAATTGCACCTATACCATTCTCAAAACCTTGGCCTACCCCCATACCCTGGAGATTCTTCTTCATAAAATTCCAAGAAATATTGTCAAAGGCTTTCTCCACATCTACAAATATCAAAACTGCTTTGGTGTTTATATTCACTTCTAATTTTTCCAAAATATCAATTATATTCCTCAAATTGTCGGACAAATGTCTTCCTGGGAGAAAGCCCGCTTGGTCTTTATGAATCTCTTCCATCAGCACTTTCTTGAATCTCTTAGCCAAAATATCTGCAAAAATTTTGTAATCCACATTCAGTAACGATATAGGGCGGTAGTTCTTAAGCTGTGTCTTTTCAGTCTCTGTTTTTGGTACAAGTGTAATATATGCTTTCCACGACTCTGGTACTCTTTTCCCCTCCATTATTTCATTGCAGACCTCTTTCAAAGGTTGAATTAACCATTCTTTTAAAGATCTGTAGTATCTAGAGGTCAAGCCGTCTGGTCCTGGAGATTTACCCAGTTGCATATTTTGAATGGCACCTTCTATTTCCTGTTCAGTTATTCTATGATTCAAAATTAATTTGTTTTCTTGAGATATTTTTTGTAATCCATTTGTTTTCAAAAATTGGTCTAAGTCTGTTTCTTTCAATGGCCCTTGAGTATATAATCGTTTAAAGTACCTCTGGAAACAACTTCTGATCTCTGCAGGGTTCTGTATGTTTCTTCCTTCCACTTCTAAGTTCGTAATTGTATTTAATTTTTGTCTCTTTTTCATTTGCCATGCCAACAATTTACCACATTTATTGGCCGACTCGAAAGTCTTTTGTCTCATTTGTTTAATTTTCCATTCTATTTCCTGATTCATCATTTTC